GATTATGGTATGTCTGAGTGCGGATGGGTTACAAATGTCTATATAAGTGAAAGTAAATGTGTGCCAAATGTAGAAACTATTGGCAAAGTAAACCCAGGGGTTGAGATCAAGATCATAGATAATTTGGAAAATTCTCTGCCTCCCAATAGTATCGGACAGATTTGCATTCGTGGAGATAATGTATACACTTTTATATTAATTATTAATTATACGTTAATTATAAAACATTTTAAGATAACTACTATAGATGTATATTTAAATAATACTTTGTGATATTAATAATGTAATGCAAATTAAACAATGAACAATAAGGTTGTTCCTGGTTACTTTGGATATTGTGGCAATTTTGTACATGAACATATTACAAATGATGGCTTTTTCAAAACTGGAGATCTGGCATATTATGATAAAAACGAATATTTTTATTTTATAGACCGTTGCAAAGATGTGATTAATTTCAACAGTAAATATTTTATGAAATTTACAAAATTGCAAAATATTTAAATATATTAGTATTAAATATTAATTTAATGAAACCTTATATCATATAATAGGCATAATTGTTTCGCCCGTGGAATTAGAGAAGGTTTTATTATTCCACGAATCAGTAGTAAATGCGGCCGTAATTGGAGTGGAAGACGAAGACAACGGCGAGATTCCTATGGGATTTGTTACCATCAAAAGTGGCGCTCAGGTCGAAGAACAGGAGCTCATGGATTACGTTAATAATCGAGTCAATCGTATTAAACAAATGAGAGGAGGAGTAAAAATTGTAAAGGCATTACCCCTCACACCTCTCGGCAAAGTCAAGAAAGCAGATATTAAACGAATGATTAAAAATGGCGATTGGCCAGGCAATATGTAATATATAAAAATCTATAGAGTTATTCTATAAGGTTAAAATAAATCGCATATCATATAACAATCGAGAAGTTTATTACAAACAAAATTAATTTAAATATTCATTATTCAAAGAACAATAATTGCACAGCAATTCTATAGCACCTATAGTATAGGTTAACTACAATTTGGGATAAGTTTATAAAACATGTTTAAATTTTCTGTGCTATATATAGTGTTCCCAGATCACTATTTCAATTTCCTTGAGTAATGTACTTTTGAGTAATATTTTCCTTGAGATTACTTAAAATTTTATTAAAAATTTCTTGAGTTTTTCCTTGATATGTTTTTAAAGCAAAAATAATAATTTAAACTATTAATACAGTATATAAATTGTAATTTATATTGCATTACAACTGCCTTTTAAACCAGATTACGGAGTTAATATTTTCGGGTAAACATATAAACATTAACATTTACATTAACAATCTGCCTATCTGATACCTATTCAAATATCATCAAAATTGTTTTCATTGATATTTTACATAAAAATGCCACCTTAATTGCATTTTAAAACCCTTGACTTCCCCATATTAAGACGAGACCCCCACCGGGAGGCAGGAGCCAGACCTCAATTCCTGGAGACTCCTGTCATTCCGGGAGCTTCTGGGAACACTAGCTATATATAGAAATAATTGTCATTAGCCCATAGAATTAGCATTACCCATAGACTTAACATTAGCCCAAAAAAAATATTAGACCAATGTTAAACTTAAGCTGGGGTTCCATATTAGATTTCAATTTCTTTTCATAGATATATTGATATGATTCAATAAAATATGAGTTAAATTTTACAATATTTTTACAATAAAGATTTGATTTTAAAATATTTGTCACTAAAAGTGTTTAAACAAATCGGCCAAACATTTTAACTTTAAAATATGAGGTGCGAATGAAATATAATGAGAAATGCAATTTGACAAATTATATTACTAAAAACATTATCATGGTAATAAAAATGTTATTAAATTAAATACTTACTGTATATTTATAAGATTATTATTCAAGGAGAATTGTTATAAATATTCATTTATTGTATATTCAATAAATACTCCGTCAATAACATACTGTATATAAATTAAAATTTTTGATCTAAATTAGTTTAAAATTGTGTTATAATTAATATAAATATTTTATAAATGAAAAATGTTGTTTAAATTGTTTACATAAAAACATCACATTTTTATAAAAGTTGTGTGCATTGTATTAAAATGTTTGAGTTACTTAAATTGGTTCATATAACGGTTCATCCTCAATGGTGTCTCATGTATAAATTACAAATTCAGCTCAACATTTGTGTAATTATATTATATTTTTTACAGCGCTTTAATTGAGGATGGTTAAGAGAATAAGTTTTTATATTTCCAATTTAATGTTGATAGGTAAGGTAACAAATATAACGTATAATGAATTTTACAAGTTTCACTCTAATTACACTTATTTTATAACAGGAGTTGTTTGTGTGAATGCATTAAATTTTGGGTTTAATGTAAAAGAGAAAAAATATGTTAGAAAAAACGTATACTCGGAATTGAATACCAGCAGTACATGCATTCAATATAACGGTGTAGAGGGTATGTGCCGTCCAATGCGTGTTTGTCTGCGACAACAGCCGCACTGGAATATGTGGAATGCCTGCCAGTGGCCCAATGCTAGACCTCTACCATCTAAGCTCTGTTGCTATTCTGACTCTCATTTTGTAGATATGCTGTTAACTGAAACAAATAGTCTTCAGTATTATGTAAATAATACGGCATATGACGAAACAAACGGAACTAATTATAAAGATAATAGTAATAAAGAGCAATGCAATTGTGGTCTTTCCAAACTTGTATCACAAATATTACCCTATAATACAACTAATAGAAAACGATCTGAGATTGAGCTCAATTTATATGATATCCTATACCCCACTACTTATCGTATAGTTATNAAGAGCAATGCAATTGTGGTCTTTCCAAACTTGTATCACAAATATTACCCTATAATACAACTAATAGAAAACGATCTGAGATTGAGCTCAATTTATATGATATCCTATACCCCACTACTTATCGTATAGTTATGGGCAACAGTGTCAAAGTTGGTCAAATCCCATGGATGTGCTCCATCTATTATCGTGGTCATTTTGTATGCGGCGGATCTATAATTGATGAGAAACATGTTATTACGGCCGCACATTGTTTTGATAATAGTCGGTAAGTGTGCACATTTTATATTTATAATTTTAAGTAAACCTAATGTGGAGTTATAATGTTTGCTGCTAGTCCAACAATGAAAAT